AGGCATGGCTATTATTGCAGGGAGACAGGCGATTCGACGAGATCACCTCGACGCTGGCTGTCTGAGAAGAGGAAACAGAAAACAACGACCATCGTGACAGCAGACCAGGGCACTTGGGAGCAAGACCGATAGCGTGCCCCGCCTCGGGGGACGAGCCAACTTCAGCACGGCGCCAACTCTGAACTCGCGACCGGGCGAGAAGGCGAGGATCTGGCAACTGCGGCGGTCTAGTTGCGGAGCGAGAAGCCCTTCTTCTTGGTGGCCTGCGAGACCTTTTCGGGCGTGAGCGGACGGCCGCTCTCGAGCCTGCGGCGCTTGTCTTCGAGCTCCTGCCTTTGCTTCTCGAGCGCATCGCGCATCTCGCGGTGGCGCGCGTAGAGCTCCTCCTCGCTCTGCTTGAGCTTGGCCTCCTTCTCGGCCACCTTTTGCTGGAAGACGAGCTTCATCTCGTTCTCCATCTTCCGCAACCTCGCCTCGTGGATGGCACGCTCCTCGGCCATCTTGGCTGCCGGGTTGACCTCCTTGAACACCGAGTGGTCTTGTGTGACGCCCATGCCGACGAGCTTCTCGCTGCGGTACTTTTCGTACAGCACGTTGTTGGTGTGCTCCTTGAGCTCCTCCATGTGCGTGTGGATGAGCATCTGGCGCAGCTTGACAAAGTCGCAGTGCTCCTCGTTGTCCACCTCGATCACACCCCACGGGTACGCGCGGCCACGCACGCGGCGGCCGTCGGGCGTGTCGATCTCGGTGTTGGATCCTACGACAGCAAAGGGCACCTTGGTCGAGATCTCCTGGATTTCGAGCATGGTCTCCTCGTCCTCGTTCTCGTAGATGGGCGCGTGGAAGATCTCGATCTGGTGGTGTGCAATGTCGTTGAGGATCCTCTGCTTGAACGCGACGATCTCTTCGTCGGTGAGCGTGTCGGACTTGGCAATGACGGGGATGAGGTTGACCTTCTGGTGCAAGCGTCGCATGAACTCGATGTCGATGGGTCGCAGGCTGTGGCCGGTGGGCTGCACAAAGTAGATGCAGGCGTGGACGCGGTTGTCTTGGAGCTTGTTGCGGTTCACGCGGTTCTCCTGCTCGAGGTAGTTGTCGAAGCGCGATTCGATGTTGTCCACGATCGGCTTCCAGCTGTAGGTGTGGTGCAAAAGGATTGTCAGAAGGTGCGATGCGACGTGTAAGCGTGAGAATGAAGTGCGTACCTCTGGTCGTTGTTGATAAAGTCTCCGAAACCAGGTGTGTCGACGACGGTGAGTTTCAAGCGAACACCGTTCTCCTCGATGTCTGTGGGGAATGCAAGGGAGGGAAGAGTCAGTGACGATGCGCTGGATGCCAATGTGGAGCGTAGCACTTACCCGAGCTGATGGACTCGATGGCGACGGTCTTGGGGCGCTCCTGGTGCGGGGGCGGCACCTCCTTGCGCGGGTAGAGGGTGGTGTTGAAGAGGGTGTTGATGAGTGTCGACTTGCCCAGACCGGACTCGCCGACGACCATGGCAGTAAAGTTGAAGCCCTTACGCACGCTCTTTCGGTGCACCTGGTTGGGCAGGTTGGCGAAACCGACATAGCCGCTGAGCTTCTTTCGGCCAGCTGCGATGGCGCCGGCAACGCCGTCGTTTTGGTAGGCCGCGGCAACGTCAGCCTCGTGGGCGGTAGAGCCACCGTTCATTGCAAGTGCGTATCAAGTGCAGATGGCTTGGGTCGTGTCGATAGGGGGGTTTGACCGGTGCTAAGTGGGCACGGGCGAAAAAGTGGGGATGGAGAGCGTCCTTGGTATCGAGGTATCCGATTGCGGGACAATGGCGTGACAAGTGTTCTAAGCTGAGCAAGAGTCGACCTTGTCGAGCGAAATCTGCGTGACGATCAAGGGGCCGTGATGCTTGACCTCGATGCAGTGCAGATGTGCGGCGCTCCAATATGATGAACGAAGTGGATCTCTAGGAGCGATGAAAGGCGGGCGGGTGGGTGCGGGATGGCAGGGGGGAAAGGTGATAGGATGATGGTGAAGTCAACGCGACGTCGAGTGCACGATGCAGGAAGGTGGTGCAACTGGGTCTCTCGACAGAGAGGGCGGCGCAGAGGTCCAAGCGGGGCTGGACTGGGCGCCGCGATTCCGACCAAAAGCAGAGACACACACAGGCTGGCCAGCGCGGAAATTGAGTTGGGTGTGCGTGAGCCTGGCGATGCGCACGCACACGCCTGCACGCACGCACGACCAACCGCTCGCAGCCGACCCTGGCCAAGCAGGCAAGGAGGCGAGGAAGGCGGAGGGCATCGACCTTCCAGCCGCTCACGCACACACACGCACGCGCGTTGGGGCGCTGACTGCCAGCAACTCGAGGCTGGTCCGCGCCCCCTTCTTCGCGCGAGCCCATCATTAAGCGAGGCGACGAGTTGCGTGTCTCTCGCAGCGTCGCAGAGCGTGGTGTGCGTGTGTGTGTTTCAATTTTGTAATTTCCACCGCAGCTCTCGAGCTTCGTTTCAAGTGCCGCTCTGAAAGCTTCGTTCGGGCCACCCTAGCGGCTTCCTTCTGGCCTCCTTCTTTCTTTTCGCGGCTCGAACCGATATGAAGACAGATGGTGGCGATGCTCGCCCTCTGGCATCGATGCGATGTTGCTTGCTTGCTTGCTCGCTCGCTCGCATGGTGGCTGTGCTCCAGATCCATTTAGATGATGAACAAGCTGTCGAGTGCTTCTGGAGGTGGGATGGCTGAACCGTGCTCAACCTCGGAGCATGTTCGATCGACATAAACTTGCAATTCTGCCCCAGGAAGTGACGGATCCTCTTCCGGCCGGCAGCGCTGAAATTCTTTCCTTTCCTTTTCCATTCTTTGTTTCTTTTTCTTCGTCTTCGCCTTCTGGTCCGAGCGCCGCGCGGCAGGAGACCCGTCGGCTGGCAGGAAGAACGTGTTGCGTAGGGTTTGGGCCTGCAGCTTCAAATCGAGCGCCTCTCTGTAGTTGGCCAATACAAGTTTGCTCGAAATGCTGGAAGAAATTCTCGCCTGCGTGGCTCAAGTTTTTGGGACCCTGACCGCCGCCTCTCCTTTCGCCACAGCGGCCACGAACGTGCAGACACGCTGCGCCTCTCAAGCTTTTCAACCGCTTTTTGACCTCAGCGTGAGGGGACGTGCAGGCGTGCGCAGGGACTGGAGCAGCATCTGCCAATTTTTGACACTTTCGGAACACCTGATTTCTTCTCGCTCGCGAAGCAGAGCCGCCCTTTGCCCTGTCAGTCGTGCAGTGGCTGCTGAGCATAGCTACCGTAGCGCCGCCGCCGTGGAGACCGTCGATCAACCCTTCAAAGTGTGCTGTCAGCCCTCAAACCACCTGCCTTTCTTCCACCACCATCCTTTCTTCCCACACCCCATCCCTCCCATCCATCCCATACACAAAATGCCCAACTACAAGGTACGTTCCTACGATGATGCACATGGTCGTTGGCAGTTGCATCTGTGTTCACGCCATCGTGCCGCCCTTTCTGATGGTCAAGCTGTGCCACGACCGGAAACTGATTCGCCCTTATGCCATCCACTTTGACTTGCTAGGTTGCCGACATCTCGCTTGCCGCTTTCGGCCGCAAGGAGATCGAGATCGCCGAGGGTGAGATGCCCGGTCTCATGGCCCTCCGCACCAAGTACGGTGCCGAGCAGCCCCTCAAGGGCGCCCGCATCGCCGGTTCGCTCCACATGACCATCCAGACCGCCGTCCTCATCGAGACGCTCGTCGCCCTCGGCGCCCAGGTCACCTGGGCCTCGTGCAACATCTTCTCCACCCAGGACCACGCCGCCGCCGCCATCGCTGCCACCGGCGTCCCCGTCTTCGCCTGGAAGGGCGAGACCGAGGAGGAGTACGACTGGTGCCTCGAGCAGACCCTCACCGCTCACCCCGAGGGCCCCAACATGATCCTCGACGACGGCGGTGACCTCACCTGGCTCGTCCACGACAAGTTCCCCCAGCTCCTCGACCAGATCAAGGGTGTCTCGGAGGAGACCACCACCGGTGTCCACATCCTCTACTCGGCCATGAAGAAGGGCACCCTCAAGCTCCCCGCCATCAACGTCAACGACTCGGTCACCAAGTCCAAGTTCGACAACTACTACGGCTGCCGCGAGTCGCTCGTCGACGGCATCAAGCGTGCCACCGACGTCATGCTCGGCGGCAAGGTCGCCATCGTCGCCGGCTTCGGTGACGTCGGCAAGGGCTGCGCCGAGTCGCTCCGTGGCTACGGCTGCCGTGTCATCGTCACCGAGATCGACCCCATCAACGCCCTCCAGGCCTCGATGGCCGGCTACCAGGTCGACATCATGGACGACGTTGCCAGCCAGGCCGACATCTTTGTCACCACCACCGGCTGCCGTGACATTATCACCGGCGCTCACTTCGAGGCCATGAAGGACGACGCCATCGTCTGCAACATCGGCCACTTCGACATTGAGATCGACGTTGCCTGGCTCAAGGCCAACGCCCAGAGCGTCGTCAACATCAAGCCCCAGGTGGACCGCTACACGCTCAAGAACGGCAAGCGCATCATCCTCCTTGCCGAGGGCCGTCTCGTCAACCTCGGCTGCGCCACCGGCCACCCTTCCTTCATCATGTCGGCTTCCTTCTGCAACCAGACGCTCGCCCAGATCGCCCTCTGGAACGACAAGGAGGGTCAGTACAAGCGCGGTGAGGTCTACATGCTGCCCAAGGAGCTCGACGAGGAGGTCGCTCTTGCCCACCTTGGCCGCCTCAACGTCAAGCTCACCAAGCTCTCCAAGGTGCAGGCCGACTACCTCGACCTGCCCGTCAACGGCCCCTACAAGCGCGACACCTACCGCTACTAAGCGCGTCGGTGTGCGGCTGCCAGTCTGGCCGCATGCGCCTTCCGTCGCTTTGGTGACGGTAGGCTAGGGATGTCGGTCTTCTCTTCTTTTTTCTTTCTGCTTTCGAGGTCTCTCCGTGCAATCTTTTTCTCTCTCTGCAAGAGTCGACTCAGGCTCACTGTAACAGTACTCAACGGGCTAATCCTTCACACACACAACATCCCATCCTCGCACACATTCACGGCGCAGAGACGTTGCGTCTCTCGCCACTAGAATCCTTCCTCTTCTCGTTTCACAACGCTTCTTCGGCGCGCGATCGCATTCGCGGCAGTCGAAGAAGGGCATAGGACCTGCATCCCCAGCCTGATCTCGATTCGGCTCGCGTTGGTTTCCCTCCTAAAACACAATACACATCTCTCTCACTGGTCGTGTTAGCAATGCATCATATTCCCCCGGCCTTCTCAACAAGGTCATTACATCCAATACTTTGCGTGCGATGGCTGTGGGCGATGCAGCGTTGGAGTCATTCGGGTCTGCTGCACGGCCCGGCGGTGCAGAGCTGCACGAGCGCTCTTCGGGAGGCAGACTTCCGAACAAGACAAAAGAACAAAAAGTCAGGTGGTCCTTCGGGCGGTCCGAAAACTTGGCCCCGAAAAAGGCGATATTTTTTTTCGAGAGCGCAGCGTGCAGCGGGTGGAGTCTTTCGTCATTGGCTGGCGGCAGAGAGGTGTGCGAAATTGGCCGTGCGCTGCTGTGCCTGTTCCGGTGAATGCGCCGGGCTGCTGAGCGGCCAAAAAAGAAAGAACGACACGGAAGACGGCCGTGCGGCGCTCGTGCCGGCGACTCGCAGCGCACATGATCGAGGCACAGAGGGCAACGCTGCCTCCTCATCCCTCATCCCTCACACCTCCAATCAAGCCAACGAGCGTCGCTCTTCCTTCAGCACGCTCATCATACATGCTCATCGCACCAACACCGACGCTCGCCGCCACCTGCAAGTCGTCTCTGCCCCCGCTGGCCACCAGGATCACTGCTGCTCGTCACTTCCGAGCATCCTACCTCCACACGTCCGGCCTCCAGGCTCTTTGCACCCTGTCGCCGCTGCCCTTCTCCTCGCTCGTGCCCTCGCACGGATCTTTGCTCCAGTCCGCACCCAACCAGTCGGGCCTTCGCTTCTCTGGACCGCAACAACACGCGTTCGGCCTCCAGCACCTCACCCGACCCGCTTCCACCTCCTCCACCTCCGCCGCGACCATGGGCGCCATCGCTACCGGCAGGGTAGACACCACCCAGCGTGTCCAGGCTCTGCGTGAGCTCATGGCAAAGCACGGCGTCGACGCCTACGTCATCCCGTCGGGCGACGAGCACGCCTCTGAATACCCCGCCGAGTCCGATCTCCGTCGTGGCTACATCACCGGCTTCACCGGCTCCGCTGGCTCGGCTGTCGTCACCACCTCCAAGGCACTCCTCTTCACCGACGGCAGGTACTTCCTCCAGGCAGGCCAGCAGCTCGAGCCTTCCGTGTGGACGCTCATGAAGCAGGGCGAGCCCAACGTGCCCACCTGGCAGGAGTACCTCTCCAAGGACCTCCCCGCCAACTCCAAGATCGGCATGGACGCCTCGCTCATCTCGGCCGACGACGCAAAGGACATCACCGCCGAGCTCTCCAAGAAGGGCTCCAGCCTCGTGTCCATCCGCGAGAACCTCGTCGACAACGTCTGGTCCGACCGCCCCACCCGTCCGGGCCAGCCCATCTTTGTGCTCGACGAGAAGGTCGCTGGCCGATCGTCGTCGGACAAGATCCGCGAGCTGCGCGACGAGATCAAGAAGAAGTCGGCGCACGGCTTTGTCGCCAACATGCTCGACGAGACCGCATGGCTGTTCAACCTGCGCGGTACCGACGTGCCCTACAACCCGGTCTTCTTCTCCTTTGCCCTCGTTCTGCTCGACAAGGTGCTGCTCTACGTCAACGACAGCCAGCTCACCGACGAGGTCAAGGCGAGCCTCAGCAGCGAGGTCACGCTGCGCCCCTACGCCGAGTTCTACAACGACCTGCACTCCGTCGGTGCCGAGCTGGGCGAGGGCAACAAGATCCTCATTGGCAAGAGCGCGTCGCTCGCCGTGCAGGAGGCGCTCGGCGGTGCGGCCAAGGTCGAGATCGTGCGCTCGATCGTCGGCGACCAAAAGTCGATCAAGAACGACGTCGAGCTCGACGGGTTCCGCCAGAGCCACATTCGCGACGGTGCGGCGCTGTGTCAGTACTTTGCGTGGCTCGAGGAGCAGCTGATCGCCGGTAAGAAGGTGACCGAGTCCGAGGGTGCCGATAAGCTCAGCGAGTACCGTCAGTCGCTCGACCACTTCCGGGGAGAGAGCTTCACCACCATCTCCTCCACCGGTTCCAACGGAGCCATCATCCACTACAGCCCGGACCCGAGCAGCTGTCCTGCCATCGACGTCAACGAGATCTACCTCTGCGATTCGGGTGCCCAGTTTACCGATGGCACTACCGACGTCACGCGCACCTGGCACTTTGGCGAGCCCAAGGCCGAGCACATCCGTGCCTTTACGCGCGTGCTGCAGGGCCACATTGCCATCGACCGCGCCGTCTTCCCCAAGGGCACTACTGGCTACCTTCTCGACGTGCTTGCCCGTCGCGCGCTCTGGGAGGACGGTCTCGACTACCGCCACGGCACCGGCCACGGCGTCGGCCACTTCCTCAACGTCCACGAGGGTCCCCAGGGTATCGGCACCCGCGCCGTATTCAACGAGACCAGCCTCAAGGAGAACATGGTCGTATCCAACGAACCCGGCTACTACGAGGACGGCAAGTGGGGCATCCGCATTGAGAACCTCGTCATCGTTCGCCCCGCAAAGACACCCAACAACTTTGGCTCCAAGGGATACCTCACCTTTGAGCACCTCACCATGTGCCCCATCCAGGTTTCGCTCGTCGACCCAACGCTGCTCACCCAGGACGACAAGAACTGGCTCAACAGCTACCACGATGAGGTCCAGGCAAAGGTCGGCCCCCTCCTCCAGAACGACCAGCGCGCCCTTGCCTGGCTCAAGAAGCAGTGCAGCGCTCGTGTCTGAGCCCACAGGCCTGCTCGTGTACAGCTGCTGTCCTTGGTGCCATTATCAGAGATTAATATATGGCTTCCATCATGCATCCATGTGGTCCAGCTGTGCCATGCGCGACATCCCAAAGGCGCTGCAGTGCTAGAAAAAAATGAAGGTGCGTCGCCGAAAAAAAAAGAGTCCTACGGGGATTGAACCCGCGACCT